AAGCATGACACCCCTCTCTAAGGAATAACTTCTCCTAGCAACAAGGATTACAGGCATGCCAGTTGATGGCCAGCATCTACTTAATTCAGGTAGGTGTTAGACCTGAATGGCAGAAGGCTTAAAAGAATCCTGCAAAGAAGAAAAGCCCTGAAATAATAAATTAGATGATTATTGTTGATTCCTTTCTAGTCTAGCACGACTCATAGTGACTCCATGAGCAAAAGGCCTGAAGCCCCCCTACAATCATTGACATTTATCAAAATTCATAGTTTCTGGAGGCATGTTATTTAGGAAGTGGATGCCACTCCATAGTAGGCCTATTCTTTTTCTTTTTTTTTACAATTGTTATGTGGTGATCTTGGGATGTGTGTTCTCAAGTGACTGAGTTCTCAAATTATCTTCGTTAATGCATTGTAAGGGCATAAATTAATATTCCTAGAGATAAAGGAGCTAGAAAATAGATGTGGAATCATATCACTAAGGTTATAAAGGAGGGCAGAGAAGACCCGTATTAAAGAGCTCTTGTGGAAGAGTATGTTACATGTTACGATTCTAACTGAAAGGTCATTGGTTCTAGTCTACCAGCTGCTCTGAGAGAGAAAGAATGATGAGATAATAGTCTCTTATAAGGATTAGGCAAGCTCTGGTGGCCTAGTGGCAAGAAGCTGCACTGCAATCCCAGAGGAGTATGGTTCAAATCTACCAGATGCTCTGCTGAAGAAGGAGGAATAATCACCTCCTGTACCAGTCAGATCTGATTTGACAGTACACACAGAAATAATAATAATAAAATAGTCTCTTATAAGGATTTTTAAAAAATCTCAAAACCATGATGGAGTGTTACTATGAGACAGAATCGACTTGAAGGCAGTGTGTTTTATGCATCGGACTAAATTTTTTATATACAGTATTTCCTTTTATATTACAGCCTTTTAAAAATTCTTTTATTTTATATTGCTTTGCATACATACACAATTTGTATGCAGTGTGTTTCATATTTTCCTTCATTCTCATTGTCTTTACTACTGTCTTATCAAATAGGAACTATTATTACTGTCCTCATTTTCTGAGGAAGAAGTGTTAACAAAAAAGCCCTGGGTCACCCAACTAACAGTTGGGAAACACTAACCTTGAATCCACAGCTGTTAAAGAATCACAACAAGGCATGGCAAGCCTGCCTATCTCTGCTGCCCTTGCTGGTCATTGTCTTCAGAAAACCCCATTTCCCCTTGTACAAAATGCTCAGGGTGGCACATAGAAGGATAAATAAAATTATGTGAGACCTAAACCAAATAACTGTTAATAGGAGACACTGAACATCCCATGGGCTGCCAAAAGAACAAATAAATATGTTTTGGAGAGGGCGTAGCTGGAGTGTTCTGTGGAGGCAAGGACGACGAAACTTTGCCTTGCACACTCAGGGCATGTTGCTAGCAGGGGTTAGTCCTTAGAAAGGGACATGATGCTTGGAAGGGAGGAAGGTTGGCAGAGGAGAGAAGACCCTCAACCAGTTAGATTGACATGGTGACTGCTGTAATGGGCTCTAGTGTGTCAGGAAGTGTGAAGATGGCACAGAATAGGACCGGGTTTAGGTCTGCTGTTCATAGGGTCAAAACGAATTGTACTCAACGGCTCCTGAAAACAACACAATATGGTACAGTGACTGTAGATGGAGATGGTGAGGATGGTGCAGCACAGGACGGGTTTCCTATTCATTGTTCTTAAGGTTGCTTTGAGTCACAGCTGACTCAACAGCACCTAACAATAATAAATGTGTCAGGAGAATTCTGGGGCCTTAGTGGTAAGGAGTTATGCTGCTAGCCCAAATACACGCAGTTCACATTCACCAGCTGCTCCACAGGAGAAAGATGGGCAATCTCCTTTCATGGAATTTACTGCCTTTGAAAAACCACAGGACGATCAGCTATGCATGGGTTCTTATTTGACAAGACATAACAATAACATATGCCAGGGAGCTCTAGTGGTGTAATCCATAATGAGTTGTGCTGCTAACCCAAAGGCTGGCTCTAGAGGTTCAAAACCACCAACAGCTCTGAGGGAGAAAAATGGGCAGTTTCCTCTCCTTGGAATTTACATCCTTGAAAACTGGAGGGCTTCTGAGGATCACTGTGAGTTGGAACTGACTTGAAGCAGTAAGTGTTTGAGATTTGCTCTGCACTAAGCAACTGAAAAAGACAGCGTGAATGTCATTATTGTTTCTGGTCCAGAGAGGTGAGGAAATTTACTTCAGTCCCCAACATCAGAAAGCAGCTGAACTAGACTTTAAGCCAACGCTTAAAGGAAACTCTGTGGCTGCAGTTTATAATCTGATCAGAGGTAACTCTGAGGGTGGGTTGTAGGTGAGCTGGGGTCGGCAACAGGTCTGGAGGGAGCGAGTTGCTGATGCCTTTGCCCACAGCTGGCCACTGTTTTGCAGCTCAGCAGCCTTCATCTGCTTTTTTTCTAAGTTGAGGAGAGAACAAGCCTTGTCCTGTCCAGGTCACAGACCTGGCCTCCAGCCTGAATGCTCCAGGGTGCTGTGATCTGGGAGCAGCTGTGACATGCAGCCTTGCTTGTCTAGTTCTTAGGAAGATTCAAAACTCCAGTGCAGTGGCACTGTGAGGAGGACAGAAGTTTTCTGTGCTGCTGTGGTGGCTCTGAATGGTGAACAGCAGCAGTCAGATTCTATTTCTCCATGCTTTGCACTGAGTAAAAGACAGGAGCCCCACGGGGCTGGTTTGTGGAACTGCTTCGCAACTTATGTGGACTTGCTCTGCGTATTCTTTGTACAGTTTGAGCAGATTTGGTTCCTTTTTTCTCAAAACTGGAAATTTCTTTCCTTTTTTTCTTCTCTCTGTTTAGGAGCACCAATTTGTTGTTTTATCCTTTAGGACTTAACTCTTCTGTGAAGCTACTCTTTTTAAACTGCTGGTTGTATCTTTTCACTAAGTTCAGGAGGGCACACACATGCATGAAAAAGATTGTGCAAATCAATCTGCCTCATCATTTATATTGATGATTCTGTGTTGAGTCAAATCTAAGACGTCATTGATTCTAAGGCATATTATTATCTATATCACTCAGAACAAAAGAGCTGCCAATTAAATTAGGATGTGATCAGAAAACTTTGAGGATAATGAGTTTTTAAAATTTATCTATTTTTTTTATTTTATTATTTTTGTGTGAGTGTACCGTCAAATCAGATCTACACTGTCTCTCCAGTGTTAGAGCTTTCCGTCTCTGCTTTGTGTAGGTACCTCAGGTCCATGGGATATTCTGCATACTCTGGCTGATTTTCTGGTGGATTCGAACCGTGTGCCTCTGGGATTGTAGTTGCAGCTCCTTGCCACTAGGCCACCAGAGCTCCCCGAGGATGATGAGTTTTTGTTAACAGAACAACAGTTCAGAAAAGGAGAAAATGGTTGTATAGCTCAATGAATATAATCAGTGTCACTGGATTGTTCACATAGAAATTGCTGAATTGGTGTATGTTTTGTTCTATATATTCTCAACAACAAAGCAAAATAAACTACTGGGTAAGAAGTTGTGCTGTCAACCCAAAGGCAGGCAGTTTGAATTCACCAGTTGCTCTGAAAGAGAAAGATGGGTTATCTCTTCCTGTGAGGCTTATAGTCTGTGGAAAAAAACCTGCTAGAGGGTCAAATGAGAGTTAGTTGGATTTGACAGCACACAACAAGAAGAAGCCAATTAGAATATGCACCCCCAACTTCAGAGATGATAAATTATGGGGAGGGAGGAAGTGCATTGAGACTCATTCAAACACAGGTGATAGAGATAATTGTAAATGAAACACCGAGGAGTATTTTTTCCAAAGAGTTCTGATTCTCTCATTGCCTTTAAGTCAGGATCAACTCATAGCTAACCCTCCAGAGGATTTCTGAGGCTCTGAATTGCTTGGGAGGTAAGGCTGGTGGTAATTGCTTCTGTGGTAAGGCTGGTGGATCAGAATTACCAGAGAGGCCCAGACTTTGGGTTAGCAATGCGACTCCTTATGGACTACACAATCAGATCTCCCTGCTAACTTGTTAGCAAGAGTAATAAATAACAAAGTCTCTTATGCTACTGGGTTACTGGGTACAAACAAAGCAGTAAAATCCAAAAACAGGCAGGGTCTTAAAGAGTATCTCAGGGACATCTCTTAGAGTATTAGCATGTATTTGCTGATGGGAATTGAATGGACACAGGAATCACTTGAGAAAATACCTGAAAAAGCATATTGCTACACTTAAATCTCTAGCCTAATCCAAAACCTTAACCTGCTACCTTCAAATAAATTCCAACTCATAAAGACTTCTCATCAGTTTTCCGTGAAAAGACAGACCATTGTTCTCCACTGGAGAAAAATTGGAACCACTGACCTTTTGGTTCTCAGTTCCACACATAGAATACTATACTATGTCACCAGAGGGTCTAGCCTACTGAGTTTAAATTCCAGGTCTGGAATTTAAATAAAATTTAAATAAAACCCTTGTTTCATCCATTCATTCACAGTGAGACCAAGGTCAGGACCTAGAGGGGCAAATGTCAACACAAAACCAATGGTGAATAGTATTACTGGGATTCTTAGATCTGATGACTGATGCCAAGTCCAGTGTTCTTTTTAATACTTTCTTTCCTAAGGTTTTGTCTGCCATAGTAGTTGAAAGGCCCGAGACTACATTTCCAGGATTCAGTCTACGATGTAACTTTAGTTTTCAATTCCTTCCCAATATATGCCTGCAGTATCTTTTTCTGTGATTGATTGGTTAGTTAACAAATTATTATAAGCACCTACTGGGAGCCTGATGCTGTCAGGTGCTGGGACGACACTGGTGGATAAGAAAGACATAGTCTTTTTCCTTAGAGTGCTTCCTAGGTTATGCAGGAAGAGTTAAGTCATCCCCAGCTGCCATCATCTGTGGGAAGTACCAACAGAGCACATGGAAGCTGGCAGGGGCACATGACACTACTCTTGCTGAGAAGACCATCTTGTTCTGCAGGGGCTGTGGGAGCAGTGCCAGCTTCTGAAGAGTGCCTCGGTGTTCACCCGCTGCCACCCTTCGGTGGACCCCGAGCCTTTCGTGGCCCTGTGTGAGCAGGCTCTGTGCACGTGCGGTGACAGTCCCGACTGCCCTTGCTCTGCGCTCCTGGAGTACGCCCGCGCCTGCGCGCACCAGGGCGTCGTGCTCTACGGCTGGACTGCCCACAGCACCTGCAGTAAGTCACCTGCCCACCCGCCCCTCCTGGGCGGTTTCCAGGCCAGGGAAGGCTGTCTGGTGATGACGGATGAGTGGTGCCTGACCTGGGGTTATAGCCCTCCAGAAGCTGAGGGTGTGTCAGGATTGTTTACTTTTCTACACCCCTTCACAGTCTGTGGTTGCAAAGTCACTAAGTTCCTAGACCCAGTTCCCCAAAAAGCTCCTGCCTTCTACCCCTTGGTGGAGTCCCTGCTGGCCAGAAGATCGTGGCCAAAATTGGAAAAGCCTTCTTGCCTCTGTTCTCTCATTGTGTCTCCCACATTCCCTTTAAGTGTCCTCAGGAAATAAATCCATTCCCTGACTCCCAAGTTGTTCTCTGCTTCTGACTAAAATCGGAATTTTCAGTTGTAGATACAGGTGATGTCATCACTCCCTGCCTATCTAAATTCACAAGAACAGGGAGGTGGCCCAACTGCCCAGGTGATAATCTTTCAGCATCGGGGAAGTTTTTATGAAGTTTCTTTTTTAAAACCAACCCTCTCTCCTTCAGGCTGAACACATTCTTTCCACCTCAGCTCTTGGTTCCCATGTTTTTGATCTAATCTTTCTGGGTCCCTAATCATTGCCAACGTCTCCAAATTATTGTGATTAAGTGATTTAATGGTCACCTTGCGAGAAACCTCTTACCCAGAGCCTTTCACTGATCAAAGGCTAAGTCCATAGATGGCCAACTAGTTTGGAATAATTGCACAGATAATGCAGACTGATGAAGCTAGAGGAAGAGGCAAAATATTTTCACTACAAACATGTTTTTCCATTTGTAGGAAACAGCTTCTCAATGAAGGCTTTTCATCTTTGTTGTGGGTGTGTGAGAAATGTGAATATTAGCAGCTTGTTTCTTCTCTTGTAAGGAAAATTTAATGGATTGGCAGGGCTTTTATTTCATCTCTGAAGATTGGGTGAAGGAGATACTTGTAGTTTGGAGGAGAAGGCTCTTGTGGCAATAGTTTGGTGAACAGAAACCTGGAAAAGAAGTTTGGTCTGATCTGGTGGTTCAGTCAGGCAGAACATAATCGGTTACGAGGTAGAGAGAAAGGAGGACGTTTAGTCTTTGGCCTAGAGCAGCCGAGTCCAGTGGAGGAGAATATTGAGACACTTGGATGATTGGACCCTGAATGTAGTCCTGCAGCAAAGTGGATATAAATACAATACGAATGTCACCCATGCTGAAACAATGGGCATATACGGAGTCTGCCCTTGCTCGATTAGGAGCTCTGATAGCATCGTGCATAGTGTGTTGCACTGATAACCTAAAGGTGGTTCGAATCCACCAACTGCTTCCTGAGAGAAAAATGGACATTCTCTTCCCAATTGAGATTTATTTTTTTAATTAAATTTTATTCGTTTTAATGAACATTTACAGAGATTTTGGGTTTTCATTCATTCATTGTTGCACTGCCCAATTGAGATTTATAGCCTCAGAAACCTGTTAGCAAGCCACTATAAGTCAGAATTGACTTGAGGGCATTGGGTGGGTAGAGCCACTAGATTTCATGGGAACCTTCAAAAGAGGAATGTGATAGAAGGCACCATTGCTTAGTTTCAGAAAGTTTGGGGGTTTTTTCCTCCTGAGATAGAGGAACGTGGTCTCACCCTGGAAGGGGTTTAGGTGAAAGGGACAGAGAGCACAGAGGAGCAAAGCAATGCCACATTGTTCATGAGACACAGACCAAAGAGGTAGCGAATGGTCTGAGGTGACCATGAGGAGTCGTAGCCAGGACCTCATGAGAGCAGAGAAGGTGTTGTTTATATTAGGGGGGTTTGAGCAGCAGAGAAGCCCTAAAGGAACATGTTGGCCTTGGGTGGGAGATGTCCCTTAAAGCAGCAAAAAAGAGGAGACTCTGAACATGGGATGACTTGTAGGATGTTACTCTGAGGGAAATGACTTTGGTTTTCTGTTTTAGGACCAGCGTGTCCTGTTGGCATGGAGTATAAGGAGTGTGTGTCCCCTTGTACCAGAACCTGCCAGAGCCTACACATCAATGAAGTGTGTGAGGAGCAGTGCGTGGACGGCTGCAGCTGCCCTGGTAAATAAACCTATCACTTTATTTACCAAACTGAGACCTTGCCAGTGCCCTTGGCTTCAGGAGATGAGATGAAGGCCACTGTGTTTGTTCCCTTCTGCTGAAATCAGAGGGCTTTTATTTACTTTTTAAACGTCTTTGTACAGAGTGATCAGGATTGAGATGATGTTTGTTTTTAATTTATGTTTTCCTGTTGTACTGTGTCTATGAAAGCACTTCTGTCTAGGGAACTAGAAGGATGGCCTGGGCTCCAACAGTGACTTTGTTTGGGCAGCACGTGGCCCCATCTGAGTTGGAGTTTTGTTTTCCCACTTAGGTGGCAGGGAATAAGTCTGGGAGAGATATTTTCAAATGTGTCCCCGATTTGCCATGTGAACTCTGCTGACAGAAAGCTTTGCACTAGAAAGTCTTTCTCAAGACTGACTTTTTTGAGCTTTGGTGAAAATCCCAGTTGAATTAATGAGAGTTCCATTCTTCCATGACTTCCATTCTGGAAGGCTTTAAACAAAATTCTTCTTTTTTTACCATTTTTTTCACTTGTAGAGTGGAGATTTCTAATCCTCCCTCACTTCCCAGTCTAGGTTAGTGTGTAAATTCTGTGAGTGTCCTGGAGGAAATCCTAAGCCTAGACTTACACCTTCCCTATTGGATGACCTTGAGCAAAATGCTTTCCCAAATTCCTTTACCTGTTAAAAGGATGTGAATAACCCCTCTCCCTCACATTGATTAGCGTGAAAGGTAAAATCTTAACATTTCTTTGGGCTTCCTGGAAGAAGTTCTAAATCAAGTGCTGGTGGGGCTTATGCACCTGGGATACAATAGTGACGTTAACAATGTTAAGACCTTTTCTTTGGTGCCCTTGAACCCAGATGGGCAGCTCCTGGATGAAGGCCGCTGTGTGGAGCCTGATGAGTGTTCCTGTGTGCATTCTGGGAAACACTACCCTCCAGGTTCCTCCCTCTCCAGAGACTGCAACACCTGGTAATTGGGACAGCACAGGATGGGCTGGGAGACCAGGCCAGGGGCTCTGGGAAGAGATACAGGGATAATAGGAGCATCCACAAGAGAGATAGGGCCTGGCCTGTGCTGAAAGAGAAGAGGCTTCGATTTGGGGTTCTAAAGGGCATTGTAGTCAGTCAGAAAGAGTAAGGATTATATTACAGAAATGCCTGCAGCATGGGGAGGTTCACGCAGAGAAGGATCATTCACATGCAAACCCCAGCCTAGCTACCTCCACAAACTAAGCTGTAAAATATGGTTTTCCCTCCCTAAAGTCCTGCTGACTTTACAACAGCCCCCAAGCAGTGTGCATTGTGTGTGTTTCCTTTTCTCCTCTGAGATCCTTTAATAGCTAATGTTGGCACAATAGTTAAGGACTTGGCTGCTAACCAGAAAGTTGTTGGTTTGAATCTATCCAGTGGCTCCAAGGGGGAAAAAAAACCCCAAAAGCAAAAACAACTGGCCATTCATTTATACTAGGAATTGGCTCCGTGGCACTAACAATGACATGACAGTCTGTCTCTTAGAAGACATTAGTGTTTTAGTCATAGTATTCTCTCCGACTTGGGAGATCCGGGTTTGATCCTCAGCCAGTTCTCTTCAAGCGCTGAGTTTGATGGTCAGGTTCATGTGTTAGTGTGATGCAAGTTTTAGCATAGTTTCCAGACTAAGACAGACTAGGAAGAAAGGGCTGGCAAACTACTTCCAAAAATTAACACATAAAACCTGTATGGATCACAACAGTCTGATCTCTATGCCATTTGGCTACAGATAACAGCACCAACAACAGCACCACGAAGTCTCTTGGTGGTACAAATGGTTAATGAGCCCAGCTACTGACCAAAATGGTAGAGGCTCAAGTCCATTCACAGGCATCTTGGAAGAAAGGCCTGTGATTTAATGTTTTGAAATCATCCACTAAACACCTTGTGGAGCACACTTCTCCTCTGGCATGCATGAGATTGCCCCTAAGTGGAAATATAGTCAACAGCAACCTTCTTTGTTTTCTTTGAGGTGTTTTTGGTTGGCCTTTTTTTTTTTTGGTAGGAAACAGCAGTGCCCAGTGGGAAAACACGTAGATTGAATAGGAACTTGCGTGTCTCTCACTGTTTAATTCGAGTCATCTCACAAAGTGTCTCTGAATGTTTGCTTTGCCTTGCTTTGCCTGCCCTCCACGCATCTAGAAAGAGAACTTGTTTGGTCTCCTTTGGTTTTCTTTGTTCTTTTTCCTTAGTGGGAAGGTTTCCATGCTCATTCTGTTGACTGCCCAGCATGGTGTGGGCATTTCCCCTTTCCATGGTTCTCTCTTGCTCTCATCTACTGGCTGAATATGGGACTGGGAATTTCTTCCTGCTTGGGTGGATTTTTCAGGGACATTGTATCTTCTAGGCGTTCTTTCTCTTCTGCTTCTTCTCTATCTGGGTTTCTTCCAACTGGCCATAGCTCTAAGATCCCTCCCTGTCCTGGACAAGTTTAGCTTCATAAAAAGCCCTCTAGCATTACCTCCCTTTTCCCGCCACATCTCTTTCTTTGCGAGCTGTGATATCTTTTCTGAGCTCTAAATCTATTCATGTTACCCTGTTTAGGCTTGTAGATAGCACCAGAGGAAAAATGCCTAGAGAGCTTAAATTACTTGCCTAAAGTCACACGACTGCTAAGAGCCAGGGCCAGGACTCAAACTCACATTTGCCTGACTCCTACTTTTGCCTGTGCTCCTTCTTTCCTTCATGGTTGATTTGCATTTGCGTGTTAACAAAGAGATCGGCACTTCACACTCACTCATGTCCCATGGAAGAAATCATGGTGATTTCCGTCCATAAAGATTACAACCGAGACAGCTTTATGGAGCAATTTTCTTTTGTGACACATGTGGCCACCCTGCGTCAGAATTGACTTGATAGCAGTGGAAAGAAACCTTATTTGCAGACCTGCTCATGACATGTCCTTTCCTCCTGAACAGTATTTGCCGAAAGAGCCTGTGGATCTGCAGCAATGAAGATTGCCCAGGTAGGCGACTTCCTGCTGAACCCACCCCTTCTCTGAGGTGTGTCCTTGCCCATCAGGTGGGGGGAGAAGGCCCTCTGGCACAGTTTGGGTGTGTCCACCAGACTCAGCTGTGCTGACTCGCTCATGGGTCAGTGAAGGTGAGCCTTGAAGAGGAGGAAAGCGGAGAATGCACCTGGGTGAAGGTTTTGTTCTTTTCCCATCACCTGTTTGCTCAAAGGATTAAGGCTGAATGAGCTTCAGGGCCTGTAAGGTCATGTTGATGAAGCACAGGGGACTCAAATTATTTGGAAACTTAAGGGAAAGAAGGTATGGCAAGTTTTCAGGCCTTAAGTAAGTTTTAATGGAATTTTCTGGAATGCCTGATATGAAGACTTTGGCATACTCTGAGAGCTAAGAAATCTGGGCTACTAAAATGATTCTCCCAACCTTATCACTGCCTTGGGAAATGTGCTTAGGAAAAAAAAATCATCTTACTATCTCTACCCTTTATTTCCCCCTCTTCTTGGTGCCAGCTTAGCTCCATTTACTGCAAACCTTGTTTGTTCTAAGTCCCATTCTGTCCCTTCCCCAGTGACCCTAACTCTTGTCCTGATAGTTTTCCTCATTTTTTTATCTCGCATGGCATTTACTATATGCTAGACTTGAAATTAAGCACTTTATTTGTATTACTTCATTACAACAGCCTATGACACAAGTACTTTCTATTCTCACTTTCCAGAAGAATATAGAATATAGAAGATCTAGAGAAAAGAACATCTTCAATAATTTGCCCAAAGTCACATAGGAGCTAAAAGCTTGAGTCAGGATTCAAACTCACAACTGCCTGACTCCTGCCTTTGCCCATTCATTGGCTCTCTTTCCTAGTCCTTGATCCATTCTCAGAAGGATCTTTGCCATCTCTTCATGAGCTCAGAAGAGGCCTCACTTACTTAAAGACCAGCTCAGCTTCTGCTTGCATGCCAGGGCAGTCCTTTGTGGGCCCCTATGCAGTTAACACCTAGACAAAAAGTTTCCTATACCCTTGGACCTGAAGGGGCCATTTTGATTTTGTGGGTGTGTGTGGTTTAAACTTGCCTATCTAGGACCATACAGATTCATCCTGGAGAGGGTTAAACCAGGCTACTCCTTGGAGGCAAGGATTCTGGGGCTTCGTCTGACATACTTTGGACGTGTTGTAAGGAGGGACAGGTCCTTGGAGAGGGACATCATGCTTGGGAGGGTGGAGGGACAGCTCAGGAGGTGAAGACCCTCTATGAGGTGGATTGATTCAGTGACTGGGGTAATTGGGATGGGTGTGTCAGAGGCAATGCGATTAGCACAGGATAGAGCAGGGTTTAGGGCTGTTGTACATAGGGTCGCTATGAGTTGCAAATGACTCAATGGCACATAACAACAACAACAACATCTAGGACCATATGTGGAGTCTTTAGATTAAAGGCATTTGGATCACATAGGACTTTACCTTACCCTGTGCCCTATACTAGGAAAAAATCTGGAACTAGATGGAAAGTGGCTAAGATTGCCTTGTAAGGAATATCCATGCTTGAATTTAACATAATTAAACCCTGTAGAACATCTAAAGAACCTTCTGAAAGACATAAATGGTTTCTACAATCAAGATGTGAAAAACTTTTTTGTGTGTGTGTTTGTTTTTTTAAATTTTTATTGTATTATTTTTTTCGTATACCGGGACAGGAGGAGATAAGTTGTGAAAAACTTTTAATATCTAAAAGATAACCAGTCATTTTATAAGATCTGTGGGCTACAGGCAATGGAATTGGGAATTTGGTTTATTGTGTTTTGTCAGACTGATTAATTACCAGACTAGGGAATCTTAACAACCGCTTATTATAAGCAGTCATTTATCCATCCATCCATCCATCCATCCATCCATCCATCCATCCATCCATTTACTCACTCATCTAAAATCTACTTGAAAATCCACTATAAATGTGGGAGATACTTGATCCTGGGAAGACATAAAATCCACTATATACGTGGAGGGTTCTTGATCCAAGACAGTCATGATCTCTGGCCTTCCAGTGAAAATCTGGAAGGCAGCCTCACCAAATGGTTTGCTTTCTGCCATTAGGCTCTTGCTCAGCATTCCCAAAGTCTTTGCTCTGCCCCCTTTTCTTTAATTCTAAAATTCAATTGATCATTGCTACCCAGTCCATTTCTATCATGGTTCAGTTGCTGGAGGTGGGGGGAGCTTCCTGAGGCTCCTAATGTGATTATTGAAGATAGTGCTTCTGATGGGAAGAGTGGACAGAAGGTTCTGATTTTGATTTATGTACTGCTTAAGCGAGCGCAGACAGAAAGGTTCTGGAAGAGGATACACTTAGCTCCTCTAGTAAGGCAGAAGAAGCTGGCTGGAGTTCTCAGCATTATGAGTCTTCAGAATACAGAGGTGGGTATTCTGAGAAGTTGAGAGTGGAGGACTTTCCCTCTGTGATCACAATGCCTTGAGCATGTAAAAGTGGAATACCTTCAGATTTCCTGTGTAGGGATACCAGTTACACCCTTTAGTAGTTGTGTGACATTTGCAAAATGCTTAATCATTCGAAACCTCAGTTTCCTAATATGTAAAATAGAACTAATAATAGGAGCTTCATTACATGGTTGTTGAGAGATGGTTGTTACCTGACATAGTAAGATTTATTAACATTCATATTAGCTGATAACATCTTTGTAAAGCAGAGCTGCAGCTGCTTTCTTTGTAAAGCAGGGTGGGAGAAGCCTGGAGACACAGGCACAGTGGAAGGAGCAGGGATGATTGATGGGTGCTGGGGTGTGGTGGGGGGGCAGGTAGATCAGGAAGTAAGCAGAGTTGCAACTTGTTGGCTTGGGAGGTACTACTCACCTGCCCATGATGAGAGGGAAGCCTTGGGATGGAGCTACCTCTTTGGATAATTTCCAATGTATACTAACACAACCCTGTGATTCAGCTTTGGAATCCATGCTCAGTTTTTTTCTAAAGCCCACAGGGTGGAAGATAAATCTGCAACCTTGGTCAACAGAGGCAGTGTGATGAGTAAACTTGGGCAGATGCCTCACCTGTCTGAGGGTCCATGCCTGGATGTCTGGGCTTGAATGGGGCTTCTGACTCCTTAAATTCATGGGAAGTGTACTGTGGCTTGCTTGGCATGTTGGAGCTTCTGATGTCACAGAAGACTACCTTCAGGCCAGTGCAAGGCATTTCCTGTCCTTTCTAAGACGTCTCTCCCCCAGTCTCTGGATGCAAACCCATGTGTCCTTTGGTATGTATTCATATGTGTCCAAGGTTAGAATAACATCAGGCTTGATCCTAAAGAAATCAGGACTCTGAGAAACTCCAGGATCATACTGTGCAGCAGTACAAGGTGATGCCAAGTGATTTGGCCTTTAGAATCAGATATCTTTTGTATGATAAAATAGGTGCGGAAACTGAAAGTAAGCAAAGAAGCTTTTATTGGTGCTCTTGGGTGAGGTTCTTTGACCCGGGCTGAAGTGAGAGGGAGAGACAGAGAAACAAGCTGGCAGGACGGGTCAGAGGAGTCTGCATGTGGATATGAAGAGGAACTGGCCTTTCAAAAGACTTGGGGAACAAGGGCCCATCTTCTGGCAGAGGAAGTAGTCGTGGAGCATGCTGATTGGCTGTAGCTGTTGGCACAATCAAGACAATTATGACTTCTATGACCTCATATGACAGTGTAGAACTTTCCCTTGGGCTTTGTAGGCTGTGATCTTTATGGAAGCGGATTGCCAGGTCTTTCACCCGCAGAGCCACTGAGTAGATTTAAACTTCCAACCTTTCAGTAGTCAAGCATCTGACTACTGTGCCAACAGGGCTCTTCAGGCTCTTTAGGTTAAAATCCTTGTTGGGATTTTGGCAGGTTCTTTAATTAGTTTCTTCCTTTGTAAAATGGGGAGAAATTGTGAGAGCCTCACAGAACAATAACAGTGTTCTTAAGCAAAGGGCCTTGAACACTTAGTAGAGGTTATGCTGTGATTTAGAGACAGGCTTCCATGAAAACATACAATAGGAGGAAGGCTGAGGTGCTTTGCTAAAGGCCTCTGGGCTAGTGCTTCTGTGTGCTGTGTGAAAAAGAATGGAAGGCAGTGATCTGACCAGAGAACACCCCCTTCTCAGGGAATCACTGAAAAAAGAAGAAAAAGGCACGGTTGTTTGGAAGAAGAATATTCCTCCATTAGATGAGAGATTAATTTTTCTTTTCTTGGGGGAGTTAATAGAGTTATAGGAGTGGAACTTCTTTATTTACAGGATAGTCTTTGTATGCTCTCTTATGGGTCATAAACTTTTCATTCATTCTTCGATTCATTGCCTGCTTGTTGTCTACTCACTAAAAATGTAAACTCACTGTCATCTAATCTATTTCTGTGGGAAGAAACTGCCTATCTTTCTCTTGCAGAGCTGGTGGTAGGTTCGAGCCCCTGAAGATGTATGGCCTTTGAGTTAGCAGTATGCTTTTATATAGACACCACCACCAGAGCTTCCTACTCCTGTTCTTGTTATGTATGTGGTGTCAAACTGAAACTGACTCATAGCTGACCCCCAGCAGATTTTCTGAGACTGCAAATCATATGGGAGGAGATTGCCCATCTTTTTTTCTACAGAGCAGCTAGTGGATTGGAACCACATACCTCTGAGGTGGCAGCCCTGCTCCTTATCACCAAGCCACCAGAGCTCCCTCTGCTGTCTGCTAACTGATGGACTGAGGTGTTCTCTCTGAGCTGCGGGTGGCCAGCATTCCCACTTGGCCTGCTGCTCTGGCTGACACTCAGCTCTGTGACCAGCCACTAACCTCGCAGCTTGTCCTCTGTGTTCCTAAGTTTCCTGCAGCTCTGCGTATTGATTGTACCAAAGAGATATGAGGTACAATCTAATGTTTATGCTTCTGATTCTTTACACTTGGGACGCAGATCAGTGGGAGTTAGAACAGGAGCTCAGATCAGAGGATTAGATCCCAGCCCGCATGGTTTTGCTTTCGGATATTTGCACATTTTCTTGCTGACCCCTCTTTTCCTGGGCATTGTCAAAGATAACAGTGGTTCAGTTTCTTATTCAGATAAGAGAGCTCCTGAGAAAACAGAGAAAGGCACGGGGAAGAATTCCTACCCACTTTACTGCAACAAAGTAGAGATATTTAATACCAATGATCATATCACTCTGTTTGTATAAGGGTGGTGATTTCTGAAAAATAGCCATTTTAGAAAGACTTTTCCTCTGACGTCACTCGGTCCGGAATTCTAGTCCATATACAATCAGCTCGGCAGACCTTTGCCTTTCCTCACTGTTGTCTGTTCTGCTCTGAATCCCATCAGCAGTGACCCCCATCCTGTCCACTCTTGAGGGCCAATGTGGTGGGAAGGTGATTCTGAGGAGAAGTATCTGCACCTCCTGCTTTCTCCTAACTGCCTCTCTAGGCCCATGCCATCCTGGAGTGGACGAGCCTTCCTGCAAACCAGGCAGAGGAACACCTACCATCATCAGCCTGGGCTTACTCCCCTTCCTTTTCCTCTGAATACCACCAAGCAGATAGGCCCACACCCAGACCCAATGCTGTGTGGTCTAGCGCTGCCCCGACCTTTACTGTAAGCACAGAGATGGGCCTGAAGACAGCAGGCAGTAGAGGCCTACTGGATTTTCCCCTGTGGTTCTGAATATCCTCTGGCCATGTGACAGGACTCAGCCTCAGCGTGTAGATATAAGGGGACTGACTGTAGGACCCTCTTAAGGGGAACTTTAGGTTTAGATTGGATCAGTGTTCTGAGGTACCAAGTCCCTGCCACTTGGGGATGGAGTGGGTAGGAGGCAAGCGGAGACCCTCCTTATTAGAACTGTCTTGGTACTTGTGTCTACTTATTTTCTTATAAAGTACAAGGTAAGGATGAGAACACAGAGAGAAGAAACATATAAAGGGAGGCTGGGAAGGGTTCCAGATGGCTGGTTCAGCTTCAATGAAGGCATTGTGGTCTTGAGAGTGGGATTTCCCTGAGCTGGGGTGGGGCTGATGGGGAGTCACTGGATACATTGCAGAGACCTCTCCACACAGAAACATTTTACAGGCTGTGGTATCCCCAGTTGGGGTTGCATTGACCTCTAGATATAGGACCTGTGCAGAGCTGTGCGGGAAGATGATGATGGTTGGTTGGGTGGTTGGGTGGTTGGGTGGGGTGAGTTCAGTGCTCTGAGCTGTAGGGTGAAAAGGAGAGTCCTTGTCCCCACCCACAGACGTGTCAGCCTGGACGTGGAGCTGGCCCTGCAGAGCTCAGCACTGCCCAGGCGGTGGTGAGATCATGGGCAGATGGCCTTTTAGGCCCCCATTGGTCCTGGCTGAAGTCACAGCATGGATTCGCCTGGGAGGAGTCCTCAGCGCAGGGTCCTGGCCTCAGTCCTCTCACGTGACCATGCAGTGGCTGCCCTTTCTGCCCACTTGACTCTAAGGATTCTCTTGGGGAGAGCTCTCCTCTGGGAAGAAGGGTGGGATTGTATACTGGGGTCACCCAGTTTCCAGTCTAGAGAAGGCCATGCAGTTCAGCAGGCCCTTCCCAGACTGAGACACTGCAACTCCTGGGCTGTTACCTGGGTGTTAGCCTGGGGTGACCCCTGACCGCAGCGGGAAGCATGGAACCTGGTGAGAACAGGCTGTGACACCAGGAGGGGATGAAGCTGTGGAAAAAAGCTCAGGAGGTGTGGGTTCTAGTCTGACCCTTGACACCTCCCTTAGTTACTTCCTCTGCAAAATAAGGTTAATGATCCAGATGACTTATAGTTGTAAGGCATTGGAAGTGACTTCAAGTCCTCCAGTAAAACTAGTGTAAAGCATGTCCACGGGGTGTTGGTCTTGGGTCTCTGTGTTCAGACGTGCATTCTGTCTTTCTCCTCCACTACAAGGGTTTCCCATCCTTCCCTCTTTACTCTGTTTCCTCCAGGGGAGTGTCTGGTCACAGGACAATCTCACTTCAAGAGCTTTGACAACAGATATTTCACCTTCAGTGGGATCTGCCAGTACCTGCTGGCCCGGGACTGCCAGGACCACTCCTTCTCCATCGTCATAGAGACCGTTCAGGTGAGATTTGCTGGCCTGGTCAGCAGAGTGAAGCCCAAGGGGGTTGGAATAGGTGCCAGCACGAGAGTGCATCTGTGGATGTGGGGGTCAAAGACAAGGCAATGAATTTCTGTACAGAAGGAAGGTCTGTACAGAAAGAAGAGACCTTCCTTCTGTACAGACTACAGATCCTTCCAGAGCCTCAGACCATCTCACCCTCTCTAGATGCAGAAAGGGACTCCAGCTCTACCAGTGTTGCTTCTGTGGGGCCCCTCAGTTTGGTAGCCAGAGATGAATCCCCTTTAAGCCCAATCTACTGCCCTCATGGCGGCACTTCTGTTGTTTGGAGTTAGAAGATGATGAGGGTGGAGACAAGGTGGACCAATCTTCTTTATTAGGCTCTATGGTTCATGTGTGCGTGTGTATCTATCTATCTATCTATCTATCTATCTATCTATCTATCTATCTATCTATCTATCTATCTATATCTCACCTCCACAAACCATGGAAGTGTTTGTTATGTATTGCAGTGCTAACCAAAAGATCAACAGTTCAAACAAAACAGCCATTCTGCAGGGGGGGGGGGCGGAGAAAAATGAGACAATCTGCCCTAATTAAGATTTATAGCCTCAGAAACCTGATGATGGGATGCCATGATTTGGAATCAACTCAACTGTAGTGCATTTTCTTTGGCTTTTTATATCCATAGAGCCTTATGTCTGTTTGTGTATCTATCTTCCTGTCTGTCTGTCTCTCTCCATCCATCCATCCATCCATCCATCCATCCATCCATCCATCCATCCATCCATCTATATCTGTTATCTATCTATCCATCCATCTATATATATTATCTATCTATCTATCTATCTATCTATCTATCTATCTATCTATCTATCATAGATCTCATGCTGAGAAAGGATCAATGAAAGAAAAACATACAAGATAACTTGACACAGTGTAACAGTTGGCTCAAGCATGTTGGAGATTGTGAGGATGGTGATCTGTGGTTCATAGGATCACTTGGAGTCAAAGTTGGCTTGACAGCACCTAACAACAAGCAGGTATATATGTGTGTGTGTGTGTGGTATATATATATATTGCTGTTGTTGATTGCCTTTGAGTCAAGCATGACTCATAATGACCCTATGAACAAAAGACCTGAAGCCCTTCTACGCTATCAACATTTATCAAAGTTCATAGAGTTTCCGGAGGCATGTTGTTTAGGGAGTGGATGCCACTCCTGTTTCCAAATGTGTCATTATATGTTATTATTGTTATGTGCTGTTGAATTGTCTATGACTTATAGCGACCCTATGTACAGCAGCTCTGAACCCTTCCCAGTCCTGAGCCAGTCTCACTAATTCTGACACACCAACCCTCATTGCCCCAGCTACTATATCAATTCATCTCATCTGGGGTCTCCCTCTCCTGTTCTGTCCATCCACCCTTCCAAGCATGATGTCCTTCTCCAAGGACTGATCTCTCCTGGCGATGTGCACAAAGTAAGTGAGACAGAGTTTCAAAATCCTAGCCTCCAAGAAGAGACTTGGTTTCACCATCTCCAAGACAGATGTATTTGTTTTCTTGGCAAAACAAATACACACACACACACACACATGCATGTATGTATATAAAACATATACACACATACATACGTTGTTTTGTACCATCTCATCAGCTGGCCCTCCAGAAGGTTTTCAGAGACAGTAAATCTTATGGGATGAGATTGTCCATATAACAACTCATTGTAGTCAAGTTTGAACTCCATCTTTCTTCCTCAGACCTACTAGTAGATTCAAACTACTTCTTTTACACTGGCAGCACAACTCCCTACCCACTAGGCCACCAAAGCTCCTTTATATATATGTGTATTCTATACCCCCTCTTATCTCTCTCTCTCTCTCTCTCTCTATCCTTATCCCTGTCCATAGCTATCTATATCTCTATCTGTCTAGTTATTTTGGGGTACTGTTGAGTCAGAATCACCTCCCAGCTGACCTTCCAGCAGGTTCTTAGAAGCAGTAAAAAGCATGGGAGGAGACTGCCCATGTTTCTCCCCTGGAGCAGCTAGTGGTTTGGAGGCATGTGCCTTAGGGATTGTAGTGCAGCTTCTTACCATTAGGCCATCAGAGCTCCATCTGTTCTACTTGTTCTCAACTTTGCTTCCTTCCCTCTCTATGTGTATAGCAAGAGACAGAGACAAGTAGGCTATCTGTACACTGTATATATTATCTATCTATGACATATAAGACATAAAACATACAGGACTGATCTCGAGGATCAAAGGCTCTGGTTAGTTTTAGAACAATGGGCCCGAGATCTAAGATGATCCAGACACAGAGAGCTCTTATAATAGACTGGATTAGGAGGGAAAGGGGTGTGCAGGAGGCTGAGGCTTAGGGTTCCCTGCTGTGTACCTCTATGGGCCCCACCCACATTGAATGCTCTGTGAACACGGAGTTGGACACTGTGAGAAGGTTCTCAGAGGCTGGGGTCTTCTCTGGGATGGTGAAGACGTGGTGATGACTCTGGCACGTCCCCCTTGGCAGTGTGCTGATGACCCTGATGCTGTCTGCACTCGCTCTGTGACCACCCGTCTGCCCCTCCTGCACAACAGCCTCGTGAAGCTGAAGCATGGGGGTGGCATCTCCGTGGATGGCCGGGACGTCCAGCTTCCTTTCCTGCAAGGTGGGCTCTCTCCTCCTCCACCAGCTCACTCGCAGTGCCCTCTTCTCAACAGCTCTCGTCGCTGACAGCCTGATCGCCTCTGTACAAGCGTGAGGAAGTTACTGCTGGAGGCATGGATGGGTCTCCCTGACCTGCATTTGTACAGACAGGAAGGTGTCCTGCAAGAAAAGAATGAAAGGGGAGAGATGAGGAAGTGGCTCCAGGCTTGAGATTGATTGCAAAGGAGAGAAGGGAACCAAAGGGCTTTTCACTTGATTTGAGCCCAAGGAGCAAATTGAGAGTTGGAAAAAATGGTTTTACTCTGAGACTGAAAAGGGGCAGAGGCTGGTGCTCAAAGGTCAGGGAGTGAATAGTAAAGGGCCGAGCAGAGGATGACACTCAGGGCAGGGCCACCAGCCCTGTGGCCTATGCAAAACCTGTCTGTCCAGTGGCTCTGCTTCGGTTCACTGTGTCCTGCCAAAACAAAACCAATTCTGTAAGTTACGCTCTCAGCCTTCACTTTCAAATCGTCACTCAGATGCCCTATTACTTTCTAACTAGTCTAGTCGTTCCATGGCTAGTTCTCATAGCTCTGCACACAAACCTGGTGATCTTGGACTGGCGGATACACAGCATGTCCATGTGTGTTCAATGCTGGATACATTTGTCTCCTGGTGAAATAATGCCTTCCTCTAGGACAGTGCAATTGGCACAGGACAGAGCAGAGTTTAGGTCTGTAGTACATAGGGTCGCTATGAGTCGCAAGCGACTCGACTGTGCATAACAACAACAACAACAACTAGGACAAGGAGTAGCCTTCTCCTGTCTCCTAACCTTCCCACAGCAGAAAGAACTGCTGTAGCCAGCTCTGCACCCAATTGTGGAGGACTGAGTAACTGAGGCTGGCAGTGAAGGGCAATGGCAGAGACGCCCAACTCAACTGCAGACACAGAACTCCCTTAGGAATCGGACCAAAGTGAAGGATGTGGAAGTCTCTGCTTCCCTCTAGTGGTAGCAGAAGGAATAGTATGCTTTGGTCAGATTGCAGAGGTTTCTCTGGGGAACTCCGTTTGCACCTCATCCACCCTGATCACCCTTCCTCCTGACATCTTAAACATCACAGACACCCCAATCTATATCATATAGTCGTTTTCAGGGCATCCTCCACATAATACATCTATTTGTCACCATCCTGTCCCCTCCTCTCCTCAGCCTACATCTTGTCTCTGCTTGGTTCCAGGTGACCTCCGCATCCAGCCCACCGTACTGGCCTCTGTGCGCTTCAACTATGGGGAGGACCTGCAGCTGGACTGGGATGGCCGCGGGAGGCTGCTGGTGAAGGTGGGTTCCCTCTCCAGTCTCTGCCTCCCCTCAGTGCAGCTCTGACAAAGTGCTCCTTGTCTTCTGGCAGAATGGCTTTGTGTTGTGGGAGAAGAATTCCTTTCTCCTTCATCCCTACACCCCCAGAGGGAGGAACAGGCTTCTCTTGTTTGAGAAGCTGGCATTTGTTTTCTGGATGCCTCTCACTCACCCCTAGGGATTCTCATTTCTGGGGCTCTGGCTTCCCAGGAGCCTGCCCAGATGGGCACAGGCCATCTGCAGACCCAGGAGGCTGCTGTCGGCAGGGGAGGCAGCAAATGTTCTGTCCGCACTCTTGGCTGAAGCACAGCCTGGCAGTGGGATGTGTTCTCCTGGGTGCCCTCTCTCTGGGAAGAGCCCGAAGGGAACTCATGACTCTTTTTTGCTCCAATGCTGATAAAGTCTTCCTGCTGCCTATGAGAGAGCTGCACAGTGAACTCCTGCCCACCACAGGCTCCTGTAGTCCTCTCCTTTGATAGGATCCACAGAGAGTCACGCTTGGATACTAGTTGCCCTTGAGTTGACTCTCACTCATGGTGACCCCATGTGTATTAGAGGAAAACTGTGCTCCTCTGACTTTTCAGTGAGGTTGCTTTTTAGGATATAGTCTGCCAGGATTTCTGGTGAGGTGCCACTGGGTGGATTTGAACCCTCTACATGGTTTTTGCAATCACTTGCTATGTGTCAGAGAGTTGGAAAATGACTAGGGAGGATAGAAGGAGAATAGATGCCTTTGAGCTGTGGTGTTGGAGAAGAGTATTGAATATACCATGGACTGCTAGGAAAACAAACAGGTTCGCCGTAGAGAGGGTGAGACCAGGCTGCCTGCTCCTTGGAGGCAAGGATTCTGAAGTTTTTGTCTGACATACTTTGGACATGTTACAAGGAGGGGCCAGTCCTTGGAGAGGGACATCATGCTTGGGAGGGTGGAGGGACAGTGCAAGAGAGGAAGACCCTTGATGAGGTGGATTGATTCAGTGACTGGAGTAATTGAGGTGGGTGTGTCAGAGACAGTGAAGTTGACACAGGATAGAGCAGGGTTTAGGGCTGTTGTACATAGGGTTGCAATGAGTCACAGGCGACTCCACGGCACATAACAACAACAACCTTTTAGTTAGCTGATGAGTAACCATTTGTAGCAATAAGGATTCCATATTTGAATACAAGTGTGTTTTCCTACAAGGTGTTTGTAGGTATTGTATGTACACACACACACACACACACACACACACACCACACATTTCCTCTTTCCACCTCCCCCCATGGGATTTCCCTAGTACGTGGGCAGTGCAGGGAATGTCACTGCCATTTTACGAAAAGGCACCATAAACGCAGAGAAGGCAGATTTCCCCACTCTACCCATCTGGCAGCAGAGTCAGTGCTGCTGTCTGGGCAGCATCTTTTTCAAGTCCTCACAGTTTTGGCCTCAGGAAACCTCTGTACTGTAGAACTTACCAAGGACACAGATCTTTTACTGTAAGGGTTGTAACTAATGATCTCTTATTGTCACTGAATTGGAACAGACACATTTCTGACCCTCCATTGGAATTGGAGGTTGTAAATTGCATGAGAGGAGTTTGCCTGGGTTTCTCCCTCAGAGCCACTGAGGATTTAAACCACCAGCGAGGTGCCGTCTTTGGATTAGGAGTGCAATTCCCTATGGACTGTGTCACCAGAACTTGTATATGCTTACCATATTAAACATTAAATGATGCTTAAAAATAACAATAACCTCTCATGTGTTAATGTTGTTACCTTCTGTCAAGTCAGAACTAGTTCATAGTGGACCCTCCAGTGAGTTTTCAGAGACTGTAAATCACCTGGTAGGAGATTACCCATCTTTCTCCCTAAGAGCATCTGGTGGACCTGAACCTCTTACCTTTGTGTTGGTAGCACAACTCTTTACCCACAGGCCTCCAGTGCTCACATGTGTTAATATAGACAATTTTTTTTGAGGGAGACCCCCTCCCCCGTTTTCCAAAACAAAAACAGTGAGAAGAATGGCCCTGTTTTAAATTTCTGCATGTCTCATAATGTCAAGTTTGATGGAAACCAGCTGGATTTTGCATCTGCTTCCGCATTTGGATTTTTGCAGCATGATATGTAGTTTCTTGAAATATCCACTTTACACTTGTAAGAGACTAGAACAAAAAAGGCAGATGACATCTTT